TTGGAATAAAACTAAAAAATCAAATAAGATGTTAAACTGTAATAGATGCAATATTTTATATCTTTAATTGAAGTAATTTGGCCGTTTCAATAGATTTTGTAAGTTCCGTAACTAATAAGGGATTTAAGTGTAATATTTCAAACTTGAAGGCCTAAATGTTACTCGTCTATTAACTTTAGGGGGTCTAAGTATAATTTACTAATAAATAGACTAAAGGACATTGACGGCAGGGTCTACTAATTATTACTCTCGTATAAACCTCAAGGAGTATGTGTGTAATATTTTAAATATCAACGAATCTAAGTGATTAAGTGACAACTTCAGAAAATGTGAGTGTAATTTACCCAAACATACTCTTCCTCTAAGTATATTTGGGCGCCAATTATGTGTACTATGTTTTACCACTCTATTAATTTGTCTAGGCTTATATGTTTAGCTAAATCACAAACTATCATTTCATATCTTAGCTAATACCTATTTGAAAATATTTATATCACATCTAGCCGATGACGGTTAATAAGTTTTTCTACATATTTTGTAATGTATATTCTATTAAACAAGTCTGAAAAAAAAAATGTTATTTCAACGGTCCATGAATTAAACTTCAAACTTCTTGGCAATTTTTTTTTTTAGTTTTTGTGAAATTGTATTTACACGTCGGGAGTGAGAGAATATTAGCCATTTAATTTAGTTTAACGGCAAAACACATAATCATTTTTGATAATGGTATTGACCATTTCCAAAACAATTTTTTTTTCCCTTTCAAAAATCAAAATTATACATCAGTGTTTGAATCTTTTTGCAGACTAATAATATTTCTAAAGCACTACATGTAATTCTACAGGATCGAAAAAAACATTTGGTAATGTACTGAAAGTTACTATTTTTGAGATCAAGTTATAACTTTCGTGAATCGTTTTTTTTTTTTTAACAAAATGTTTAGGTTTGCGCCGACTACTTTATCGAGTTTGGATGCAAGTTACCTAATCCGAACAAGTTTAGAACATGTCTACTAAGGAATAAAGGTGACTGACATTTAGGAGGTGTAAAAAATTTTGAACCTGAGACATCTGGATTACCAGAGACTAAGTTTAGCTACTAAACCACCCCTAAAATTTTTTTAGTTCTAGTTTTTATCTCAAAACATTATTGTAAATATCAGTGCGTTACCAAATCGGTGCTGTAGTCTTTCTCAAGAACTACATATTGTTTGTTGTACTGTCATTGCACGACAAATTGTCAGCCTCAAATTGATATGTTGTCATAAGTCATAGAAGCACTTCTCCGGGTCAATTTTATCTACCCAGAACACAAAGCTTGAGCCTAGAAAAAGTACAATAATTATGATTTTTGCCATGGTCATTATGAAACATAAAATAAAATAAGATCAAGTGTGAGCAATAACTTTTTTCCAACCTCACGAAAAAAAAATTAGAAATATTTTTAACGTCATTTTCCTTTTGCCCCTTAATAAAGTTAATGATATCAAGAATAAAATTATCATAAAAAACAAATCTACAGCAAAAGCAGAGGGATCATTAGTTTAAGGGACAGAGTGATCGACCTACAATCAAGAGGTTAAGACAGTCCAAATGCCAGTCCAGCTCGGTCGCAAATAAAACCAGTTTAGCTATTTCCAAATGAGCCCGACTAATCTAAAGAGGTTCAATCCATGAGAATAAGAGGAGTTAACAAGGAAGAACAACATCAGACCCTATCCAAGGAGAGGGTCATTAATGCCACTCCACTAACTTCTAGAATGTCATATCATGCCTAGGAGAATGTTGCCTCTAAATTTCAAATATTTTCCTCCAATATCCTAACAAACTTAGGGGACCACCTCCATCATTGCTTAAGGACCACTTTAGCTACAAGTATAAATAAGTAAACCCTTGCCCTGTATCATTAGACGAGCAATTGCACACCAAAAAGGCCAACTATGAACCAAAAGATGTAACCATGGTATTTCTCACCAAGTAATATAAACCCTAAGAATAAGAGACTTCGTTAGAGTAGATTAACAAAACTTTTCAGTTGGTGTACCACTAAACTCATTGTATTCTTGATTTCTATTGTCTTTTTACTAACACCTCACACACTACTTATTTTGCACATCTATATTGTCGGAGAGCTTCTCGTACTTCTCAATTTCTAACACCATCAGTTCGGCACCATCTGTGAGAATGTCTGGCTTTGTTTTGCTCTTTATTAACTTCTATTTTTGATTGATTGATGGCCTTCACTAGAAGTATGATTCCATATCCAGAGAACCAGTAGAGAGTCCCCTCCATCGCCTCTTCCTCCAGAGATTCTGTCTCTAAGGGAGAAACTGGAAACTTACCCATAGAACATAATCCGTCTCCTAAGAAAAAATCAAGAGCTCGTAGCCCTCAAATTACTACTCAGAATCCTCAACAACAGTTACCGAGAGACCCTCCTCCTCCTCAACCACCTCTCAATGGGATAACTAAGGAAGACTATAGGACTCATTCAGGGGAAAATCTTTGAAGCGAACAATCTCGAGTAGAACTCGAAGACAGAGAGCAAAATAGAGTTAAAGGGAATAAGAGGCAAGACTTTCAGCCTCCCCTCCATTAGAATTCACCGAACCAATAGTGGGAAGATCCAAGGAGGTTTAGAATTAGTGTGGTAACATCAAAGATATAGTGAAGAATCAAGTCCCAATCATGATGGAGGCTCTAGTCTAGCAAATAGAGTCTCTGTTCACACTAGAGATCCAACACTTCCCCTTCCCAACAAGTTCAAGATGCCCTAAATTGAGGTGTTCAATGAAACCAAAGACTTGTTCGATCACCTCAATACTTACAAAACCAGATGGAACTCCATGGATACTAGGACCTTATAAGTTGTCGACCGTTCGCCATTACCTTGAAGGGGTCTGCTCTGGCATGGTACAAGAAGTTAGCCCCTTCCTTGATCTCCTCCTTCAAAGAACTTTCCCTATAATTCATCTCCTACTTCATCGGTGCAAGGACCCACCTCAAACCAATCTCATATCTTCTCATTATAAAGCAAATATTAGATGAATCCTTGAAGAGTTGTGTCCATGGGTTCAATCAGGAATCTTTACAAAATGGATGGCTTGGATGACAAGGTCAACTGATGGCATTCATGGTCAGGCTTCAGGCGTTTGATGTCTTGTTCTCTATTTCAAAGAACCCTAATGCCAATAAAGAAGAAGTGCTGGCGAAGGCCGAAAAATATATGAACAGGGAAAAAGCAATTTATGAATTCTACTATCTGCTTCAATCGACATGATTTCAAATTTCTTACTTTTAATGTATAGTTCTAATCATTGTTAATAAGAGCTCTATGACCTTTACAAATAAACAATTTATAATTAAAAATAAGTACTCTCATAATTCAAGTCCAATTATTTTTAGCCATTTATTTATGCATCACCTTTTCAGATTTGGTCACATTGGGTTCTTTTCTCACAATTGGCCTTCGACATCTTTTAAGGGATTGAGGTTTAGCTAACCTTTAGCCATGTGTTCACCTATTACCAACACTTAGAGTTATCTAAGAACATTAATAGTTGAAACTAATAAAACTCTTAAGTGTGAAGGTGAATGGCATACTTGTACTTGGTTTATGATTTTTTCAAAGGTAAACCATTATCCAAGCATGCTAGGATGACAGAGATTTTGACTAATGAATCATAAAATAAGATTTATGTCACTAAGTACCTTCTCGCTTAATATGACTCATAGAAATGCATATTTCAACTTTGATTTAAGGATGAAATAATTTCAATACAAACTAAAGTGCAAATTACCATGATCATGAACAAGGAAAAACAAACAAATTAAAATATTTTTGGCCTATTCTTTTCCAATGTTTTTGACATTTTCAATTAACACATGTACATGAAAAATATGCATAAAGATGCTATTAAACAAATTAAAAAAATAAATATTTACCTAAATTCTAAAAATGAATGTCAAAGTTGACGTCAAAACTCTTTTTGAATTTTTGAATTTTTGTATTTCTTGTGTTTTTTATTTTTCATATTTCTCTTGTTTTTCGGTTTTCATCTTTCTATTGTTTTTATATTTGCTAGCATGTTTGATGCAATGCATGTGAGGTCACCTCTCCTATTTCTTAGGATCCATGACCTTGTTAGAAGCACTTGGAGCCTCTAACTTGGTTGAGATGTTGAGTTTCTAAAGGTCCTTCTTAGTCGCACACACATGTTTTCTCATCCCAAAACTCTGGTTAGGTCGGAGAATGGGTGGAGGATTAACTCTCTTTTCCTTGAATGTGTGCATATAAATCTTGCCCTTGGGAGTATAAGGAGTCTTGTGCATTCTAGTATGTGGTCCATGCAAAGATGATGCACGAGTATTCTTGGACTCACGTAACCTCTCTAAAAGCTTGGAAAATTGACAACTTGAGTGTTTAATGCATGAGTATGAGTTTTTTTGTCTAAGACTCTATTTTGTATGCAATGTGTACTATGGTGACCATGTTCACCACATGTAAAACACACAATATGTTTGGTTTGAGTTTTTTTTTTTTTAACTAGCTTGTTTTCATACTTACCCTTATCAAAATTAGTATCTTTTGAACTTGTGCTTACACATGGGGGTCATGGGTTGGGTTACCCTTCACAACACACAGTCTTGGAAGAAGTGGAGGTGTTGTATTCTTTTGTGAATCCTAATCCTCTCTTATCACCAACACTTTTCCAAATAGCCAACATTCTATCAAGATTTTTGGTGCTTTGGGAAAATCTATTCGAGAGTTCTTGTGATTCATGAACGACTCTATTAAGTTTTATTAGTTTAAACTCAAGACTCTTCTTAGACTCTAAATGCCCTTTGTGCTCTCTCTCAAGGAAGCTCACCTTGTCATGGAGAGACTTCTCCTCCTCCTCAAGCCCAACAACGTAAGCTTTGGACTTAACTAAGTCCACTTAAAGTGCTTTGTTTTCATCTTTACTCGTTTTGAGCCTCGAGCTCAATGAAAGCAACTTCTCACCTTGTTTTAGACACTTCTTGTATAGCTCGTTGTAAGCATCTTGGAGGTCCCCTAACACTCTCAGTCTCATCCTCACTAGTAAAGACTTCCACTTTTAAGTCATCTACATCGGTCGTGGGACTTGACTTCAACTTATTTTTCTTCATTTTTGGAAGTTTCTCATTGGGGGGAGGAATGTGAACCTACAAAGGTTATGAAGTTTTATTTATCACTTGACAAAGAGGAGCTAATAATCGTTATGGACTCACTTTCTCTTTTACTCACCTTAGCCTTTAAGGCTCTTTTCCTCTCCTTGGGCATGTCCTTCTTCTTAGCATGACTACATTGTGTAGCTATGTTTCCAACCCATGACACTCAAAGCATTGGAGACCTTGCCCATTCTCCTCAACCTTGTCAAATGGATTGAATGTCCCCTCTGTGAGGATTTCCTCTCATTATATAGGCAAAAATGTGCAATATACAAGGCTAGAATCAAGCCAAAATTACAGTTATTAAATTTGTCTATACAAAAGGAAACTATGTCTATATACAGATTCTGACTAAATAAGGAACTATTTATGTACAACTGCTAAGAACTAAATAAGGAAACATGGAGCGTGTCATGGTGACATCCCCCCTCAAATTGATATTGGTGGGTTAAGAAGCATCAATTTGCCACAAGAAACTGATGACGTTGCCGTGTCATGGCCTTTCTAAACACATCTACAATCTGGAGGTCAGTAGAAATATGAGGAAGAGAAATGTGTTTGGTATGACAGTCCACCTCAATGTATTTGGTATGCTCATGAAAGACAGGATTGGTAGCAATCTGAATGACACTAGTGTTTTCAACATGTAGAGGAGTAGGATCGGACTGAACACAACCAATCT